ACTCTTCCTTCCTTTCTTGATCTCTCCCCCCCATCTTCTGCTGCCAGACATTACGTTGACACTCACGTCATATACTACTTATAAGTAGCTCGCACCACAACAGTATTCTGTTTAGATAGAATTTTAACGAAGCCATTCAAATTTAGGTGAACTTGTTTTGATTAGTTAGATTGTATGAAAGCTGTGACTATTTAGAAAATGTTCATTTTTTTTTAAATGACAACTATACTCTATTCCTTGAAGCATTCATCTTAGATAATTGTTAGACAGTAGAGATCGTCAGATAAATGTATTTCGTTATGTATAGGACATTTTGGCAATACAAAATAACGATTCCATAAGGAGATGTAACCTGAGATATTCTAGTCTTATAACGAGCCCTCAGTCTTCAGCCCACTTAGGCCAGTATTCATCGGTGTACATGTCCAAGTTGAGTGTTACGTTCTGATAGGGAACTCTACTCAACAGTGCGTATCTATAATCTCGACAATGATCAATGCATGAACTGTAGACTTTGCAATCAGCACTTGACATTTTGACAATTGAATTGGTCTCTAATAGATTACGTTAACAACTCAGTCGATTGGACAATTATTATTTTGCAATGAAAATGACTGTTACATGGTTGATACAGTTGAACTTCTCACTAGAACTACAATTCCAAAAATTGTTTACTGGTAAGTGCAAGATCATGATTTATAGAGGTCAGTTACAAAGTTTTTAACGATTTCATCAAATATCTTTGAAGTTGAAGTTGAATATATTTTCGTTATTCAGTCTTTCTTTGTATGATGAGTCAAAAAATGTAGGACAAGATTATTTTAAACGTTTAACAATCCAAAGTGACTTTTCAATGGATTTATACTATTTATAGTTATAGTTATGAACTGAACATCGATTAGAGAGCTAGAGAGAGAGAAAGACAGACAACTTCCCACGTGCACATACATGCACACAGCAGAAATCTATAATAGACACTGATAACTTTACACATTTAAATCACTAATCAATCATTGTTAGACTAACATTAAAAACCTAAAAGCACTGAAAGATGGTCGTTTCGTCCTGATATGGGACTCATGAGCAGTGTGCATCCCTCAATCCTACAACTCGCAGGATTTCCAATCCAGTCGCGTTGGTCTTGCGTGTGAACGCCTAACCTCTGGATCACTGGACCGACATTGGACGGTGTTAATGTCTAACTCTGATCAACCTAGAGATAAAGTGTATTTATTACAAAACCACATCTGGCATGAACTTGAAAGATTCTTTACAAACGCTTATAAACTGGTTAGAATCAGTGTTATTCTGAAAACTTCATTGAAACATTTAAAAATCAATTCATTTTACAATAGTTTAACCTAATCGCGATAGTTCAAATACTGTATATCTATCTATTTAGATATATAAGTCATTCCTAGTTTTCAATATTCAATAAAATAAGAAAACCAAGTTTTATTTTTGTTTAATTTTTTTCTCTAGAGAACAATTTTTTCCATTTTTATATTAGATTTTATGTATTCTTCAGAAAGAAAAAAACTGAGTGTAACTGTATACATGTACATTTGTCTAGAAATGCAGAAATGTGCATGCACACACACACATCATAAGTACCAAAAAAAAACACATTGAATTTCAATTTAGATTAGTTTATATAGAGAAATAGAAAATTATATACACTCACTAACAGTTAGTTATATAGTTCAACTCTATATGTTGTATCTAATCGTTAATTTACAGATAAGTATGTATCCATAAAGTATGCTTGGATTACTTTCTTTGAGTTCATTATCTGTTTATCCTCTTATCAAATGTACTTTATAGTTAGCGCGTAATTTAAAATCAGTTATTTTATGATTATTAGTATTTTTTTTCTGAATGTCTATCATATAATTGAATTATGCATGCAACTCGTTTATTTTTCTAACTTATCCGGTTATGTATAGTTTATAAATAAATACCTTTGTAAATTAAGTCTGAAACTCCTCTACCTCAAGGACATTGCATGTACACAGACACACACACACAGACACACACATGCACATACGCAGACATATCAAGATGAGTGCAACAGTTGAAATATAAAATCATCAACTATGTCGTTTATATACATAGATTTACAATTTTATGATTACAATTTTATTACAATATTGGCGTAAAAATAAGTACTATATGTAAAATTTTACTTTCTAGGCTGAAACGATATGAAAAAAACAACAACGGGTTTTTATTTCACAGTACTTAAAATTATTGATGAGTATTTTTTTTCGTCGTACTGATAATAGATAGTAGTGAAAAATTCGATGGCGTTTTGATGCAAGCGGTACTAGATTAGGTCAGTCAGTTAGTTACAAAGCAAAACTTTGTATGCACGTACATAAGTTCATGTTGCCGTATCACATTAGCACAGAGACGTAATTTTTAGTTCTAATCCTGTATAGTGGTAGAAATAGTAGAAGTGTAAGTGGTAATCGAGAAGATTAGGGCTTGAAGATATTAATTCAAGAAGTATAATTCAGTGAGATAAATGTAGAAGCAGAAAGATAGAGGTGATGAGGAGATCAGAAGATTATAATTACCGAGAACATAAAGCATGGATACACCTGCGCCATTGCAAACGATTTTGGGCCATGCAATTCAAAGTCTCTAACCACCGATTACTATGGTCTCGTGAACCCAACCGAACCTAGCTGCTACATTGACGTGGTATTCGGGCTTCACAATCGTGATGATGAAACCAAGCTATATTGGATGGAACGTATGTTCTTCTAGGTTCTACAATGTCAGGCAGGTCGAATGGAGAACGATAAGACTAAAAGTAGCTACTCAAGGTCTAAGGACGAAGTCGTTCTTCTGACTGTGAAGAGGTGTGACAGAAGTAATGTGTTTCCATCGGACAACCAGCATCTGCAGTGATGCTGCCTTCTCACAAGGGAAAGGAAGAGTCAGAAAATGTCGACCCTAAAAATGTCATACCTAACCTTACCTCACGAACTTACGCCTCCGGTGATAAGGCCTTTTGAACAAGAGCAGAGTTAACACTTCAAAATCTCCCAATAAAAAAGCCGTGCGTCACCGATCTCAAGCAGTTGTCTCTTGGGCTCTGCGGTCACACTCTCAGGTCTCTAAGACCGACACTAATCTACCTTCTTTTTCAGGTTCCTCAAGAAACACCCTTCCACGGTGTGGGCATCCAGGTAGTTATATCCGCCCTCACACGCGGAACAGTTTAAGAGACTGAACTGGTCACGTTCAGAAACCTTCCTACACATTCTATTATCTCTCTAATCTCCACCCTCACTGGATTAGAGTTTTAAAGTAAACATCAACTTTGGAATACAGCCACATCCAGCTGAAGAGCCTCAAGTAGGACGAAATGTGTGACTTGTAATCTACCACTAGTCATTGTCCATCTTCGCTCGCAATGCTTATGACCTAATGGTAATGTCGAGGCGTATGCGCACATGACGCACATATGTCGAATGAGACTGATCGGCTGCAGTTCTAATTATTAACAGGAAGTTTCAAACTGCCAATGCAAATACAATTCATTGTAATTCCATTGTCTCACAATATCTCAGGTTCCACCCCTGACTGACAGGATGTGGTTACACACCACTGAGTCGTCGTACCCCACTAGGATTAAATAACCATTCGGTGCTCCCTTCTCCCAACTCGAAGGAAATCAGTCTATTACAAATAAAACTCTTTAAGAGCACACATCACGGAAAGCACTCAACTACGTTACAAGACAAGCCCTCACATGGAATTCTCAAGGTCAGAGGAAAAGAGAAAGCCAAGGAACACACTAAGCCGAGAAATAGAGAAAGATATGAAGAGAATGAACAAAATTTGGACAGAATTGGAAAGGGAAGCCCAGGACAGAGTTTGGTTATATATATTTCGCATTATAGGGTTGTAGAGATTGCTGAGCTACTATGGAAATCATGAATCGATCATTGCCTGACCACTGTTAAAAACTTGTAAGGAGTGGATGGCTGTTTCTTCCTGGTATGTGACTCATCAGCAATGTGCATCCACGACTCCCGCTACTCGCAGGATTCGAAACCCCAGGACCTTCGGCTTTGCACGCGTACACTTGACTTCCGCACCACTGAACCATCATCCAGTGGCGTTAATGTATAGCCTAGACTGATCCACGGTCTTGCACAACCTCATCCACTGTCCTTACGGAGCACTGTTTCACACCTGAACAGGGTTGGACTCCAGTGATCACGACTTCTCACTAGAACTTGAAGTAACTTCCTCCCAAAGCTAGTCATTACTGAGCACATCATAATTTGCATGACAGGGTTCGATTCCTGAGGCAGCGGAAGTCGTGGATACGCACCGCTGATGAGTCCCATACCAGGACGAAATGGCTGTTCAGTGTTTCCAGGTTTCTAATAGTGGTCTAACATGGATCGATTAATTATGTATATACACTTATTCAAGCTTATAAGATACCATCCCCTTTTAGTGTAGTATTTATACAAGAAACAAATAAATACTGTTTAAACACACACGTTTTTCTGGTTAGAAGATGCAAGTGTTTATTAACAGTTGTCTACACAAAATACTTCGGATTCGTTGGCCAGACACGATCAGCAACAACGTACTGTAGGAGAAAACAAATCAGATCCTAGTGGAGGAGGAAATCAGGAAGAAGTGGTGGAAGTGGATAGGACACACACACTACGAAAAGCACCAAACTGCGTCACGACACAAGCCCTCACATGGAACCTTCAAGGAAAAAGGAAAAGAGGAAGGCCAAAGAATACATTACGACAAGAAATAGTGAAAGATATGAGAGTACTGAACAAACATTGGACAGAACTGGAGAAGGAAGCCCAGAACAGAGTTGGTTGGAGAAAACTAGTAGGCGGCCTATGCTCCATTGGGGGTGGTAACAGGCGTAAGTAAGTAAGTAAGTAAGTAAGTAAGTTAAACACACAAACACAAAAATAAATAACTAAAACAATTAAAATGAAAAGACTTACTTATGATTTTTACCAAGTTTTTTCGCTTCAAAATCACAAAATGTTACACGTGGAAAATTACCCGAATGAAACCATTCACGTCCTTTCAGCAAATCATATAATACACGAAAACCATAAAATGTACTATCATTACCAACAAATTTTTCCATCATAAATAATTGTCCAATAATATTAATTAAATATAAGAATTTTGTAAAAAAATATAATACAACTAAAAAATTTCCCTGACGTTTACCACAACAACATGTACATGAACATTGATGTAATAAATGATGTTTACGTAAATGATGATGATGATGATGATGATTATTAAATGTTTTATCTTTTTTATTTGTTTGATACATAGTAGTTGGTAATGTATTGTTGATTGTAGCGTTAGTAGTGGAACGATATGAACTTGGTGTTGTCGCAGTTGTTGTTGTTGCGTTGAAATTCGTCGATGATAAATTTTGTTGTTGTTGTTGTGTTTGACTATCGTCAATTTTTAAACGTCCAATCATGATTGGTTGTTGATGTTGAGGATGAGGATGTGTGTGATAAGGATACTCACCACTATTTCGTGAATTCAATGTTTCCATTGTTGAAGCAAATACATTAGTTTGTTCTTCTGTTACAGATGCTAATCGTTTTTTAGCTTTTTTACCATTTTCATTATCCATAGAGAAACTATGACGTATTTTATCTAACAGTGATGTATTCGAACTACGTCGTTGTGATGATATTAACATGGGTTCCATTTGATGATCATTATTATTATTATTATTAGTATTATTGACATAACGATTTTCATCATGACCATTTAATGGTGATGATTGTCTTGGATTAATTGTAGTTAATTGATGATGAAATTGACTTGTTGGCAAATATGGTACTGAATGAGGTGGTGGTGGTGGAGGAGGAGGATGATGTGAATGTGGTTGCTGTGATTGTGATTGTTGTTGATGATAAGCTGGAGAATAATGTTGATGATGAACATGATGTAGTAAATGAGGTGATTGTCCAAGACCTGTATAACTTGTTGGAGAAAATCCTAAAATAGTTGATAATTTTCTTTTACGATAATCTCTTTGTCGATAAATACAACCTTCCATATAACGTGCTATAAAACGTACATTTTTCATTGTATGCTCAGGGAGTAGAACATTTGAATCACATGACATTTGTAGTATACGTCTAACATTGAAACCTGATTGTGCCATAAATAAACGCCATATAAGACAGGGTAAATAAAATAACATAGCTTGTATAGCCATAACAATTGGTGCCCATTGATAATAACCAATTAGTAACATTTCTCTATCTGGTGCTGGAGGTAAACTATGCTGTAATGGAGCAAAATAAGTATTTGATACCCAACAATAATTTTCAGCATATTCTTCCCAACCACGTGTAAATTCTTGTGGTATCCAACATTGAATAGGTTTACCTTTAAATAATAGTAAAAAAGAAAGCCAACATAAGAGATCGATATGTTAAATGAATGTTAAATGAAATAGAGAATTTAGAATTAAGGACAAATTTAAATTGTTGCTTTTGTTAACTTGTTAACTTGACGGTTGAACTCAATTGTCTAAAGGTTGAGCATTCGTTTCAAGATCTGTAGGTCTCAACGTTCGATGTCTGATGTGATAGATGACTGCTATTAATAAAAACTGTTATATAATGACGGAACAATTGTCCACTACTACTTCCTGAAGAATTATAAAGATATCTTTAGTCTTTTTTTTTATTAGTGAGGGATATTTCACAGATCAGTACGTTTCTCAATGCAACAAATGTACTGTGATTTAAATTTAAGAATTTGAACATTTCAGAAAGTGTAGTATACATTGTTTTTAGTTTATATTATCGTTCAGATTATTGGAATTTGAATTTTCTGTGAAGCTAAGATGATTTTGCATTAACTTATTATCCGTTAGTAGATGATGTCAGATTGTCTAATGCTCAGTATAGTTTGATGAGGTTACTGTTCAACCATTGATCGTAGTGTCGTTAACATTGAAGCGTATGTTGAATCTGATGTCTAAGTTCATCGTCCCTTACCAATTAGCATTCACCTAATGTATGTGCTAGGGTAAGAATGGCAAGTCAATAGATGAAGTAATGAAACTTTATCAGTTGAGGTGGTTGGGAGATGTGTATTGCGAATGCCCAACCACCGACTGCCTTGACGAGCTATGTTTTTTTGATGTAGGAATAGGTTGGAAGAAAGTTAGGGGCGACCAGGTCAAAACATGGCAGAAATCCATGAAGTCACTGACAAGTGGACTGAATCATATCGGTAGGTGTCAACTACCAAATTGGGGTCCATGAGATGATAGTAATCGATGGTTAGAGAGACCCTGGGTGACATGGCTCAAAACCGTTTGTAATGGCGCAGATGCATTTACTCTTTATGTTCTATGAAATCTAAACTTCTGTTCTGGATTCCTTATAACCTCTATCTTTCTCTTTCTAAATTTACCTCACTGAATTATACTTCTTGGATAACATCTTCGAATCCTAATCTCTAATACTTTTTCTACCTCAACTACTATGGGATTTGAATTGACAATTATATCTCTGTGCTAATGTGGTATGGCAACTTGAACTGCTGTACTTACGAGCAAAGTTCTACGTTGCTGTTGATGATGATGATGATTATAACCTAAAGTAAAACAAAGTTCACTATGATATCCAGACTACAGTTCAAAATGTATGATATAATTCAATTCTGTTGTATGCGGTGGAAACTTAGAGAACTACCAAAGACATCATGCAGATGATACAAACAGTTGTCGCGGCAAAATACTTCGGATTCGTTGGCTAGACATCGTCAACAACAACAACAACCTACTGTGGGAGAGAACAAAAAAAGATTCCAGTGGAGGAGGAAATCAAGGAGAAGTTCTGACAGTGAATTGGACACTCATCGAGGAGAAAACAGTCAACTGCATCACAAGACAAGCCCTCATTTGGAATTTTTCAATGTCAAAGGAAAAGTGGGAGACCAGAAAACACATTGTACCGAGAAATGGAGACAAACATGAGAAGAATGAACAACAGTAGGACAGAACTGGAAAGGAAAGCCGAGGACAGAAGAGTAAGTTGGAGAATGGTTATCATTGGCCTTTGCTCCATTGGATGTGACAGGCGTAAGCTGCGTAAGTAAGTAAGTAAGTAAGTAAGCTGCGTAAGTAAGTAAGTAAGACAGATATTTAAGCCGATAATTTGTTCATTGATTAATGTTTTTGAGAATAGCAATCACCTCTAATATAATATATATAAATATCATTCTCTCATAAGTTCACATTCAAATGATAGAAATATACTTAAAGAGTAAAGATAATTTTATTTCTGCAGATCACTAAATATTTGCCAATAAATAAATACTTTAATAATCTTAAAAATCTATCATTAGTGTTTACTTTGAATAAAAATTTATGAACAAATGTAAAGAAAAATTATTTTAATCGTCAGCTGTTGTTTTTTTTTTCGTTCCTTTTACAAATAGAAAAAGAAATTATTATTATTATTATTATTATTTTGATTATTTTACATTTTCAGACAGTCAGAAGAATGCATATATATAGAGGAAAAAAAGTGAAGCAAACGAATAATAAACTACATTTTACGCTTGATCTCCTATCGTTATGATTATTATTATTATTTATAATGAATATTTCTCCTAGTTACTGAAGCGCATATCTATTGCTTCTTGTTTCATTCTAATCCCCTCAACAACAACAACAACAACAACAAAAAAGCAAACAGGAATTCTTTAACAAAAGCAAGCAGGCAACCAGGCAAGCAAACAAACTAGCGAACGTATTTGGCATGCTATTCTCAGCGTATTGTTTGTATAGTTTGATTTATCAAACAACAAAAAAATTATAGCTAGCACCACATCTATCTTTTCATTCCTTATATTTCAACGGAATAATAAAAGGTAACCCCATAAAAGAATGGTAAGTGTATATTGGCTGAATACAAATGATGACATTGGTTAAAGGACGAAAGAGAGAGGGGGAGAGTGAGAGAGTGAGACAGAGAGAAGGAGAACGAGTGAGTTAGTGAGGCGCAAAAGTGACAGAAAACAATTACGAAGGGAATTGTTTTTGATTATCATGTTGTTTGTGCAGATAACGATGCTGATAGCATTAATCTGATGTATTTCGCCTAATTTATATACATATATTGCATTCTGTATAGATAATCTCCTGCCTGTTAGTGCTTTTTTTTTGTAATCATGATTATTTTCTGTCGAATTTCCGAAAGCGAATCAAGTGAAATGAAGCGAATTAGCGTGGATGATGACAAGTGACGACGGTACAACAATCTAACTTGGAATTTCAATGTGTATAGACAAAAAAAAATATTCGTAGAAGTTGGCAAAAGAAATTCTTATCTCATTTTTCCATATGACATATACGTACACACAGTCACACACACACACACACGCATACGTTTGATCATTGGGATTATAATAATAATAATAATTATTATTATTATTATCATTATTATTTTCATTTCCTACTAATATTTTTGTTATTATTATTATTATTATCAGTATTATTATTATTATTATTTTGTGAAGAATATAGTTTTATGAGGAAAAAAAATGAACGACTATTTCTGAATGCAATAAGTAGTTTACAATAATATGTATGAAATGATTAGATTTCATTTAGTTAGTTAGTTAGTAAGATAGAATTTCGAACTTAGCATATGTGTAGCATGGTTTCTAATTGATACAATGAGATGAGGTTCTTAGGACGATGCTTATTGTGGTACGAGTAACATTCAGGAAGAAATTGTAAATTTTTATTTGAAACTTAGGATCTGAGGGAAAAAAAAGGAGGGCGAATATACTTGTGATATTGCAGACGATTTTGAGTCATTCGATTCAAAGTCTTTAACTACTGGTAACGATAAGTAGATGGACCTCAACTAGGTAGATAGTCTACACCGATTAACATGGTTCAGTTTAATTATCAATGACTTCAATGACTGGTGGTATGTTTTAGTTTGATGACTCTTAGCTTTCTTTGAATCTACTCATACACTAGAGAGCATGGCTTGTCAGGGTATGCCTTTGTTCCGTCAAGTATGTCTCAATCATCTCAGTCGATAAAGAATCATTATCTTGCAAACTGACTCGCCATACTAGCTTAGTACCCTTAGTCAAACCTCAGAATGGCTAACTCATTGGTTCCGAAATACACAAGCATTCGTTCAAAGATGAACTCACGAATATCCTCTATTTTTTTGAAAGCCATGCTTGAAATCCACAAGTAGAATGGAGTGAACTGCTGCATAGTAAACTCATTCTTCCGTTGATAACTCGGTATCGTGCCTACATTACAAATGATATAAGTTAGCTAAAGTCAACTTGGATTCCTAAATTGTAAGATTATTACGAAAACCAATCCTTAGATGAATATGCGTTATGTATATGAATTGGTCCTGGTTATTAATTTAATGATAATTTGACCCTAAAAAATGGATAGTTTACCATTTCGTTACATCATAGGGCTCTTCAGTAATGTGCACCCATCATTTCACTGGAAATCATGCTTTACAGATAATCCATCATCGCTGATATTTAACAAAATGTACAAATCCACTTTGCAATCTAATAATTTTAATTACAGTTATGTAGATTAGTGTTTTTACACATTTTTGAAATCATCAATCAGTCATTGTTAGACCACCACCATTAGAAACCTGGAAGCACTGAAATACAGCCGTTTCGTCCTGATATAGGACTGACTCATCAGCAGTGCGCATCCACGACTTCTGCTACTCTCAGTATTCGAACCCGGGACCTTCGGTATCGTGCGCGAACGCCTAACCTCTGGATCGATAGACCGGTATACAACGATGTTATTGCCGGGTGTCGGCAGTAAATACCAACGACAATTAAATGAGTTCGCGCAAAACCCCTAGATCAGTCAGAGTTAGACTTTAACTGTGCACTGCTGATTACTCCCATACCAAGATGAAACGGCCATCTTTCAGTGCTTCCAGGTTTACAAGGGTGGTTGGTCTAACAATGACTGATTGATGATTTCAACTGTATGAAAACGTAATATTTGTCAATTAGAAATTGTGAGTTTGTTTTTTTTTTCATTTTCTTTCAATCAGACTTACTATTTTATCATTAACTAATTAATTAGTCTCTGTCTATTTTTGATTGATCAGCTTAATCAGGCATAGATTTGAAATAATTTTTTTCTAAATAGTACAACGAAACTGTTTACACTGGCAGATATTTGATATCTCTTATTTCTCTAGGTTTCTATGATAAAAGTTAGACAAAATTTACAAGTTAGTTAAAACTTTTCGGTTAAAAGAAAAGGCTTTTATAATTAACTAACTATCCTATTGAAAATAAGTGTACTGTTAAATATTAAACTGTAATATGATTATTCTGTGATATTTTCA